GGTGCCATGCAAATCGTGTGAACACAAATAAGAAATAAATGAATGTTACATTACCAACATTGTGTTACACACCCATAGTTTATATTGAAGACAAACTGGTTCATTTAAAAAAAAAAAATATCAATTTCTAGTAGTCCAGTGGGGTTGAAGATATTTCTACCGTGAAGTCGCTCGGTTCTTTGTTCTTTGACAGTTTTATTTTTGATGTTCCTTGTTTCACCTATATGTACCTTTCTACAACCAAGGACAGAATAGTCTCAATTAAATTCTGGAGATATTTGTAATACACAAGTTATCAACATTGTCATTGCGTTTTGTTTTGTTATTTCTTGTTATGTTTCATGTATGACACAAAACAGTTACTGTAAAATCATTTATTTTCACTATTTTGAGATTTGAGCGTATTAACTGTGTTGATTTCATGAATGTCATCAAGGAAACAATGAGTTTTATTGTTATTTTACATATTCACTTAAATTTAATTTAGCGGATTTTTTTATCAGGAAATATAGTGAACTTAAATCCCAGTGAATAATCAATGCATTTACAGTATGTAGCATCCTTGGCACAGCGTATTAAACGCATTTTTACAGTCCTCCTATGTTCAGTATACAGCATACATGCAAGCTGTGTGTTCACTTTAGGAACACAGTATGGGAATGCTATCATTACCGTATTTATCCAAGTAAGAGCCCATACCTGGGCAAACGCCCACCCCCAATTTTGATACAATAAAGAAATTGAGATCATATCCTGGCATACGCCTAGCTGGTCTTTTTCAACACTTGTAACAAAAAAATAACAACAAATTTTTTGTATTAACAGTTGACTTCCTTGCAGTCTGTTGTGATTCTGATAAAAATTCTTGAAAAATAATTGTCAATTGCATTAAACGAGGAGTGAACGGGAAATAGCTGTGACAGCAAAATAGGTAATTTCACACTCTTCTTCTGGGCAGCGCGTTCATTGCTGTATACGTAATTTACATTTATTTTTCAAGATTTTAGGACCCTGGGCTCTTACCTGGATAAATACGGTAGATTGCTGTGCTTTGGTACTTTACTATGCATGATTCTCAACAAATCTTGATTTTATTGTGTATATTTCTCTTTCAGAAAGAACACCATGGTAGATTTAAAATAGGTGAACAGCAAGTGCACCATGCTAGATCAGGTAATGCCATACTCTGAGTTGTTATAGGTGTTATAATTGATGTTTGTATCAGGAAATGCCATACTCTGAGTTGTTATAGGTGTTATAATTGATGTTTGTATCAGGTAATGCCATACTCTGAGTTGTTATAGGTGTTATAATTGATGTTTGTATCAGGTAATGCCATACTCTGAGTTGTTATAGGTGTTATAATTGATGTTTGTATCAGGTAATGCCATACTCTGAGTTGTTATAGGTGTTATAATTGATGTTTGTATCAGGTAATGCCATACTCTGAGTTGTTATAGGTGTTATAATTGATGTTTGTATCAGGTAATGCCATACTCTGAGTTGTTATAGGTGTTATAATTGATGTTTGTATCAGGTAATGCCATACTCTGAGTTGTTATAGGTGTTATAATTGATGTTTGTATCAGGTAATGCCATACTCTGAGTTGTTATAGGTGTTATAATTGATGTTTGTATCAGGTAATGCCAAACACTTCTTATTTATTTTCTTCTCTGCTATCAATAACGGGCCATTGCTAGTAATGTCTAGATATTTTTAATAGTTACTTAGCACAACGATTACCAAATATTATCTACTTTATATCTGAGCAGCGTTTATTTGTTTACACTTTTTATCCTTGCCCATAGTGTTAATGAAAAATACAATATGTACTGCTGTGCTTAATGTGTCATTGTCGTTGTCATCGATAACAATTTTTGTGTCCAGGATAACTCCAGTAACTTTTTGTCCAATTGTTCTTAATTACAATTACAGTAAAACGTTTGTTATCCAAACGTCAAATATCCTGTTATCCTAATGTGTCTTGTGTCCCCTGTCAGTTATCATTGTTCGGTGTAAATTTCCCAGTAATCTGTGTCACTGTTTGTTGCCCATCCTGTGTCTCGTGTGTCAGTTTATTATAATGCTTTGTGTACGTAAAACGGACGTTTTATAACATAAATAACATAAGTGTTGCATTTTGAAAGAAGTGTTAAACACCGACGTGGAAATTACCACCCGGACTTGTCAATCAAATGGTCTTCCAAACTTGGAGGTTGTTTGAGTGTTTATTATATTGTTCGAGGTACGATGTGAAAAACTCATAACGTAAAAAATGTAATAATAAAATATATTTGAGAATCTGACATTGAAGCTTGCCACTGAGTATGGAGTTGGAAAGACTACGATTTCAAACATCAAGAAATCTAACTTGCGTGAATTTGCAAGCAAGATGAAGACCGAGGCAGGACTAAAACTAAAATTTTAAAGGGCACCTAAGTTGACGTTCTTGAAAAAGACATGTTTATGTGGTTTTAATACACAAAAAAGAAGCCAGGGTATTGCAAACTTCCACCACAAAAAAAACCTTGCAGCGGCCTCAGAGAAATCGGCCCCAGGACAGCCATTTTGGATTGAAGTTAAATCAGAAGTAGCCATTTTGAACCTGTTTTGGATATAATAAGTTGGATGAATCACATGATTTGGCTACTATCTTGGATATCTGTCTAAAAAATGTTTTAAATGTTTGGCATTATTTCTTGGGAGTACTTAAAGCGATCAACTTGATATGCAGCATTTAGAGCCAAAGCTTCCTACATGAGAAAAATATAATAATTAGTTTTGGTGGCCATCTTGAATTTTTCGCATATATGTCCAAAAGTCAAGCATTCATTTAATTTGTTTTTGTTTGATCGACCTGGAATGTTGTATGTAGTATCTACTTGTATATATAGAGAGTTGCTTATGAGAAAAATAAAATTATTTTGATCAGTCATATTGTTTAGCAGCCATTGTGTTTTTCTGAAAAATAAATTTACGCTAAAATTGGTGCTCAATACCTCAAGTTTTGTAAAAAGAAAACCAATATGTCATGACGTGATTTGTAGGGTTTTATGATTTACAACTTAGTTTTAGAGATTTTAAAAGTGACAAATCCCCTGTTTTTTTGTGAAAGCAAATTTGTGCATAATAAGTTGTTGTTTTTTAATTTAGGTGACGAGGAAAAGAAAATTGAAGAGGAATTAGAATCTCAGTTTCAGCATTCATTAGATGAAAAACTGGCAGGTAGAAGTCGCAGACATGTAGGCTTGGGGTTTAAAGAAGAAGAAGCAGAAGAAGTAGTGACTAGGCCTGAAAGGAAAGGGAATGGCAAACCAAATCCACAGAAAAAAGATGAAGTTAAGGATAAAGATGGAGGAGACGAGAAAGAAAAAGATGACAGAGACAACATAAAAGAGGGGAAGAAAAGAGAACAGAAAAAGCCTGAAAAATTAGAAGAGAGCTCGGAATGTGATGCTAAAAATACTGAAAATGTAGGAAATAAGGATTCTTTGAAAAGCAAAGATAGTGAAATGGATGAAAAAGTGTCATCATCAACTAATTAAAATAATTTTAAGCTGGTGGAAAAAGGAGATTGCAATTTATTTGAAGATGTATTGAGATTTGTTAGAAGTATTGTGCATTAATGGATCCGATTCTGTTCAGAGAGTGATTGCGTAACATTTTGGTAATATGTTCAATTCACTTTTACACAGGCCTCTAGTCTCAAACAGGAATGATTTGCAACTGTAAAATTGATTTTCGTCATGTGATGGAATGAGAGTTGGCTTGCAGCAGATGACTGGTTTGTAACTTGTATGTGATCAGGATCTTGCAGAAAACATGTACTGACAACGTTGGATGACTAATGTGCCTGTAACTAGTATGATGTGTTTACTGCAGAGTCAACATGTGCACATTTCAACTTTTGATTTGTTACTCCTAGTTCCTATCACATTTTTTTTAAATATTTGATTTTTTTTTCCAAATAAATAAACTGAAGGACGAAAACATGTAGTAGTTTTTATTTATCAAGAATAAAAAAAGGAAATTTTTTCATGGTATTCTCATCAAGAAACTACACATATTTGAAACAAATCATGTATGTCCCTTGATTGATTTATAAGATGAATGGTATGACAACATGCATTAAAGATATTGTGTCAATGGAATGTATTTTTTGCCTATTGTAGCATAGAACACAGTTGACACTTGGAATGGTCTGATCTTTTCATCGCCAGTTCCCTCTTTCCATCACAAAACAGTCTTGTTTACAGTTTGCGATTTCCTTCAGAAGATTGGGACAAAAATATCCAAATTTTTTGAGTGAAAAGTTGACTCAAATTGTGTCTGTTGGCTTCAAAATTAGGGTTCATTTCCAGAAATATTGAAGAATATAAAGTAAAGAAGTGCTGAAAAATTTAGGTGAGAAAGTCTGGTGGTGAAAAGGTTAAACAGAGGTCAGCGGGATTACTGCCGTATTCAAAATTTGCATAATCCCCGTTTTGTGAATAAGCAAAGACAGCAATTCTTTCATAGACTGAAGTATTTGTATTAGTACAGTATGTCTAGAAATGTCCATTTGATACTTTTTCTCATTTCATACAGGATCACACAACTTATAAATCTTGGTATTGTGGAAATTCATATGAGGGACATTTCAATCATCTTAATAACATAAAGTTAATTAATAATAATCTAATTAATATAAAGTAGTTAAAGATGATACAAACTGTACAGTTTCCTTATGGTGCCCCCCCCCCCACAAATTTATCTCATCAGCCAAATGAATGTTATCACCCCTCAGCCATTATTTGCATACCACTAACTTTGAATTTAACATTTTTGAAACAAACATTTCAATTGATAACGCTTTTTGTGATGGACAATGTAAGAGCAATTTGATTCACAAAACTAAAGATAATACTAACAGAAAAGGAAATAATATTTGTGGATTATCCCCAAGCATTTATTGATCAGATTTTGAGATATCAACACAAAAATTGTAAATGAACAATTAATATGCACTGATTTCAACCAAAAATAATAAAGTTTGTGGTTTACCTCAGATCAACTATGTACAGTGTTTCTGCACAGTGGGTCTTGAGATACCTGTAGAACACCTACAAATTGGACAATTTAAATGAATATGCATGGATTGCAATACAAATTATTATCCCAGAGCATTTATGTATTGAGGTAGAAGCCTATACATGATCTCAAATACCCAGAATTTATTCATTTTATAATAAATTGTACTTACGAGCAATATAAGGATATTAACAAAGACATGTCACATCTTCAATTGTAGGATGGTGACAGGCTGAAAAAAATAATATATTCCCAAAATATGTTGCTGTAACACACAAAGAAATGCTATTTCATGGGACAGTAGCTGCATGATTTTACACAATGAATGCTGTCATGTGATTTACGACAACATTTCTTGGAAATAAGAGTGGGCTTCTACCTTGAGTTTTATTTGTTGGATGGTTCTTGAAATATTACAGCTAAAAATTGGGTATTAATATGCAAATTAGGTCATTAATATGCACAAACTTCAATAAAAAGGAAGGTCTGTGCATTTTCCCAGAGCATCTCATTCTGTGAACCAAGTTTCATTGAAATACAGTATCAGTGGAACAGGCAGACAGATAGGGTAACTGCGCAGTCTCTCATTGTGTGTTTTGCACACAAGTCACTAAAATGTTTGGAAATAAAAAAACACTACCGGTACACTCAATATTCTTTATAGAAAATCCTTTATTTAAAATGTATCATCTATACAAATATTTTCAAAGAAAAAAACAGTAGCTTAGTTTTGTTAGGTTACAAATCATAGAAGAAATGTACATAATTAAATAACAGGCAATTTTTAGAAGACCCTCACTTTTAAGGGTGTCAAACGTTTTGGGGTAGGGGGTTAATCACAGCTATTGATTTTGCTCTCCAAACTATGACAGAATAGTTTAGCTGAATGCAATGCTACCTACCAAATGCCTTATTCGATGTGTGGGGGGTTTGGGTGGCAGTTCTGTTTGAAGATGTACTCGCAGAGTTAGATTGCTATATATAGTACTGATAACAATGGATCCTCGTATAAGATGAATGATGCTGATGCTGACAAGAACTTCCATATAAGGCATAATGAATTTCTATTTGATACAGTGGACCAATGGTGACCATAATGTGATGATAGAACAACTGTTTCCCAAATATGGCAATGTTGTGGACTGAAGTATGAACTTCTAAATACAGGAGGACTTCAGTCTGATTGATTGCCATATATGTTAATATCTGAACAAATAATTACCCAACACTCTGTATTAATAAGAAGTCAAACAGTTACCATATTACGAGACCAAGGATTTGAAAGATGAGGATATGTTTGTGATATGCGTGAATTGAAGAAGTGACACGGTCACAAAAACGTAAGAGAAACCTACATTAACTCTAACACTTCAGCCCCTCAATGTAATTCAATATGCCCCTCGAAATGATTATAAGTGACCTAAAGAGGGTAACTAGAGGGGTAGGGTTAGAATTATAGTTATGGGTGAGAGGGCCCTATAGAACTATTACCACGTTCTGTGATGCTATTGGTTAGAACTATGTTTGATTAATGCGCAAGGAAAGGGATTGATTTCAAACGTTCGCAAAACACTAGATTTTGCTTCTCGTACAATATTCATCATATATAAACCTTAATCTCATACGTCATTGATGAGGCTATCACATTGCATACAGCAATAATACATCTTAACGACAAAACACAGAAATAAAAAAAGCATGATAAAATGCAATTTTTTAAAAACAAACAAACATGCAAACCTAGTTATTATTCAGTGTTTTTTTTACGTAGCAAAAATTGTATGTTGTTTTCATGGTGTTGAGATTATTCAATGATATTTGGATTGTACCATTGCTGCTGACGGAGAGCACCTTAGTGCGATGAGAGAAGTATATTTGAATTTTATCATTGCTGCTGAGGGAGAGCACCTTAGTATGATGAGAGAATGATATTTGGATTGTACCATTGCTGCTGAGGGAGAGCACCTTAGTATGATGAGAGAATGATATTTGGATTGTACCATTGCTGCTGAGGGAGAGCACCTTAGTACGATGAGAGAAGTATATTTGGATTGTACCATTGCTGCTGAGGGAGAGCACCTTAGTACTATGAGAGAATGATATTTGGATTGTACCATTGCTGCTGAGGGAGAGCACCTTAGTATGATGAGAGAATGATTTTTGGATTGTACCATTGCTGCTGAGGGAGAGCACCTTAGTATGATGAGAGAATATTTGGATTGTACCATTGCTGCTGAGGGAGAGCACCTTAGTACGATGAGAAAATGATATTTGGATTGTACCATTGCTGCTGACTGCTGGATTTCTGGATTTTACCAATGCTAATGAGGGGTAGCCGCTTGGTACTATGAGAGAAGGATATCTGGAATGTACCATTGCTGGTCAGGGAGAGCAGCTTGGTATGATGAGAAAAGAATATCTCACTCTTGCTAATAACAAATTGGTATAATTATTTACATTTTCAAATGTTAATTTTCGAACAAAGTGAGCCCTTACTTGTCTTGATCAGTAAAAAAAACCTAAAACTATTCTCTGCAGTACATGTACCTAGCTATACAACTTTAAAATCACTGCAGAGCACCACTTTGAGAGACAACGCCAGGAAACTGTTGAAGGTTTAACAATACTGTGCAGTACCACACATTTATATCATACAACAACAAAACTAATATGCTAACTAATGCCCAAACTATTTTTTGTAAATTTGTTTGATCTTCTGGAAAGTCATTTATGATATCATTTTTTATAATCCTATAGTATCAATTTTATACTCATTGATACCTGGAAGTATGCACATTAATTTAGTTTGTATATGTTGGGCCCCATGTTATGTTACTCTGACTTGCTACTAACAAAGTGTTTATGAAAATTTGGGTAAACTAAAAGAAATGTGGCCAAATTTTCAGCAATGAGTTAGGGAATTTTTTTTTTCAACTAAATTAATGCAAACACTATCATGTATCAATAGAAATTAAATGGATATCATCTGCAGATATCAATAAACAATACCAGTAAATGACTTTTCCCAAAACATCAATGGATTTTCTAAAGTTAGATGCTGTTGTTTCCCACTTGAAATTGGGTAAAATTGTTCACATTTCTGTTATTTTCACTGAATTAAATATCTTAGTCTTGGACCAAACTGACAATATGTGACATTGCTTCTAGTTTTTGATCAAAAAAGTTAAAATTTTTGTCAGCATTTCCTGTGTACAAAAACATACTAAAAATGGAACTATTTTGTGGATGGTGCGAGAGAAGATGACTTTGAGACTCAAAGAGTTAAAGCAAGCATTCAGTAACTGTCAAAATAATGCCCACTATATACAGACAAAACTAACATCTCCAACTGGCAAATGTACATGTGAAAATTAGATTTCAAAGCGAAATCTGTTACTGCATGCATCCTGAGTATCCATCCATTACATATTTTCAATAACTAAAAATTTCCATGCTACTTCTTGTTGTACAAATCTACCCTGCACGCCATCTTGTACATCAAAGCCCGCAGTGGAATAACAAACTTGATGCCAGGATTCAAATTACTACTTGACACGCTTCTGTTGTCTACTTCTATAAATATCATGTGCAGGTGCTTGGATTATGTTATCATCATCATCTGAGTCATCTCCTATTGCTAAGCCCTCTCGTTTTCTTTTCTTCGGATCACTCTCCAAGGAAGCATCTTTCTCGTTGTTGACACCATTCTCAGTAGGTTCAGAAACAGGAACTGTTTTAAAACAAAAATCATATATAAAAATATTTATACTAGATTATTGCAGAGCTTGGTACAAAATGATTTTTGTTTTGAAATATTATTCCAAGGGCCTTTTATTGGAAAGATGAAAAAAAATAACTAAACTTTATATAAAGCAAAATCATCAAGAAGAATTAATTCTAGGGGACATAACATTACAGATGTGTCCATTTCTGGTGTATGTAATGGCAACGAGAATCAAATCAGGCTCGCCAAAGAAAAACTGTATGCCTTGGAACTGACAAACCACAGGGAACTGTTCAACTCATTTCCTGAGCTTACTACCTAGTGCACGTATACATGTTCTATTGTGGAATCTTACAGTGATTCCATTTCATAGTTGTTGTGCATGTTCTTATGTTAAGTTCTATCTACATGTTTAAATATTTTCTACTATGCTATTCATAAAGAGCCATTGCTTGATTACTTATTGTATTTTGAATACTCATTAAGGACAATGATTAACAAATATTATATATCAAATTTATTGATCCGAGTAGTGTTTATTAATCATTTAGTTAAAGAGGGGGAGTCGTCACCTGCGTATGTGTCTGATAGCCGTAGATTGTCATTGTTTACAAACAAGCGTCTACCCATGAGGCTTTGCGTTTTAGAGTGTGTTGTTATCATCGCTTGGGACTCAATTCCCTTGTGTGCACAGGTTGCACCCTTCCGCTTTAATACATCACCCACTGATGCTATTATATACCATATCTATCAGCTATTAGTGGATGCTTTCAGCAGACAATGTGTTAAAACACAAGCTGTTAGCCAATTCATGAGTTTGTGTGTCAACTTTCTGCCACATCATTTTCTGTATTCGATACACACATGTAGAAAATACAACATAAAACACTACCTTCTGGTATCTGGCATTCTCCTATTTTTTGGATTATCTCATCTACTCGTACAAATGGACCCTGTAATATAAAGAGAAATTATCAATTATAATGTACATTTATAGTGACAAAATGAATAGTGTTTTTATACCATATCTCAAAATGAAGAAATTTATCGACAATAATCTAACATAAATGTAATTGTTGGATTATGTGCACTTGTGTTGTGTTTATGTGTAAATATAGTGCAGTGCATGTTTTATGTAAAAGCCTCATTAGCCAGTTAACCTTTTCACCACCAGATTTTCTCACCCTTTCTGCAGCTTTGTCTTGTATTGTTTAGTATTTCTGAAAATAAACCCTAATTTTGAAGCCAAAAGACACAATTTTAGTCAATTTTCACTCAAATAATTGGTTATTTTTTCCAATCTTTTAAATATATGGGACTATTTTGTGAATTTGTGATGAAAATTGGGAACTGGTGGTAAAAATGTTAAAGGAAAAAAGAAATCTCCATGAGACACAACAAATGCTTATGCCTTTATATTTTATACCACCCTTGATCACTTGATCTACTGACCATACATTTATTTCTGTATACCCGCATGTGTCGCTCTGTTTTCATGCAGATATTACTGGGTTTTAATTTTGCTTATTTTGCTGACTGGAAAATGCGCTAAATTTAAACCCAGTGAATATGTAAAATTTAGCATAGAACACATTTTCTAACTGATAAAATCGTGAATTTAAAACCCACTGAATATGCCTGAAATGGTAAATCAGCTAAATTTAAACCCAGTGAATATGTAAAATTGAGCATAGAACACATTATCTAACTGATAAAACCGTGAATTTAAAACCCACTGAATATGCCTGAAATGGTAAATCAGCTAAATTTAAACCCAGTGAATATGTAAAATTGAGCATAGAACACATTATCTAACTGATAAAACTGTGAATTTAAAACCCACTGAATATGCCTGAAACCCAAGACTGCTTCACCTAAGGTGTGGTGTCTTAAGTTTTGATATCTAATTTTTTCTCAACTATTGAACATGTTGAACAATTTTGGTGTTCAAAGCCATGGCATCAACCACAGCAGGTACAATAGTTGGTTCCTTAATGAAAATTGGTGAAAGTGCATCTGAGAAAATTGTAAACCACTTTAGAAAAAAACATAAATTACCACCAGATGGACATTTTAAATCAAATCTGGAATTAAAACAATGTGACTAATGTTAATACCAAATTTAGCCCAGGCACGAATGAGAAATGTCTGTTGGTTAAATGTCAAAAAAACAAAAGAATTCAATGTGCATATCTATACCATGAAGCTCTGTCTTTGATTAAAATCTATCCAGGCATGTTCAAGAAATGAAATTGGTTTTACAGACAGATGAACAGACCAAAACACAAAACATAAATCTAGTTTTCAACCACAGTCCCTCTATCATAGAGGGACTGTGTTTCAACAACATTCCGCATGGAATGGAACACAGTTCAAGTGCAGGAAACTGAATATCCTTTTAACCCTGTGTTTAATTTTTTGTACTTTATTTTTGCTTTTCCTTTATGGAAAGCTAGAGAACAACATATCTTACCTGAAAACATATAGGTGGTGGAAGTAATGTCAGAAGATGAGATGCTGCTGGTGGAACGGGGAATATTCCTCCTGGCACTGGATGTGATCCAACAGCTAAGGAATTATTGAGAAAAAAATGGCCATGGTTATTCTATCATACTGCATTGAACACATATATTAGGTGACAAAGAAATTTGTGTTTATGTTATGGGCTGTTTTAAGTTCTCGTTTTGATAAAATCATTATGGACTCTTGTCGTTTTGTTGCCACAGGAGGTAAAACCTAACAAAAAAATAATGTTTCTGGTAAGTGTTCACATGTGACACCACCAAAAAAAGTGTGGGCCATTCTTTATTTATCACTTATTTCACCACTGATGACGTATTGATTAAACAAGCAAATAGTTTGTACATCAAATATTTTAACAAAAAACAACAACAAATAATAGGTGATTTTCCGTAAAATTGCGAGATCTCGCGAGATGCACGAAAGACACGTGTCGAACGTCTGCCGTGAAAATCAAACGATTTGATTTTGAACTCAAATTTCTTTATTTCGTAGCTCACATCGTCCAGCCAATCTTCGACTGAAGAATATTGCTTCCGAACACCCTCACTAAATCAAAATTGCTTATCATCAAATGTGGACAGCACATTATTAAGCATGGAAATGTCCCCCCAAATACTTTCGCGTTTGTTGAATCCCACACAATGTTTGTCGCCACTACAACGCTATGACCTTTGTTTGTCCTGTTTTTACGTTCGATTTCATGCATGACGCGTGATTCTTGCAGTGAACGGAAAATGGTCTATTGCCACAACTCAGATTTTTGAAAAAATAATTGACCTGAAATCTTTTTTTTTTATGTGAGGCCAAATGATCAATTCTTCTGGTCATTCAAAATACAGCTGACAAAATACTTACGTGCAAATTTTCTTGGTTTAAATGGCATCATTTGTAGAAGGTCTGGTTTAGGATATTCAGGCCTTGCCTCTTTCTCTTCTTCTTGTGGCACACTGTCTTGTTTAGCTGCAGTGATTAGGGGAGTAGCAGTTGGCATGGGAATAAGAGGGGCAAACTTCCTGGAAAGATCCTGTAAAGAGAAGTGACTGTAACATGACTTCTAGGAATACATCCCTGGGCAGATTAGATCAAAGATCATCTATTGTTTAGTCTTTACTATGGGCGATCAGATAAAACTTTTTGTGGGGATTTTTTTATTATATTTTTCATTATTGTTTGTTTTATTTTTTTTTCATTATTAGTATTTATTTTATTTCATAAATTTTATTTAGCATTATTTTTATTTATTTTTGGTCTCACCATTAAAAGCAGGGATTTCACAGTCAAAGAGGAAAAATAAAATGACACCAAAAATGAGAAAGAAATGATGAAATAAGATCAGATTTCTCGTATGTAGCTTTCAAACAAAGAACAGTATTTAAATATGATTTTACTTGATGTTACAATTTCTAATTCATTTCTACCATCAATCAATAATCATTATGTAGATTATTCAGGTACACTGGTGGACAAATCTATGATCAGAAATCTATCTTTTACAAGTTCAGAAGTCAAAATTGGTGAGATGGACCATTATAATGTGCTGACATATTTGCCGAAAATACTGTAATATACTTTATTTTCGCTTTAGTAGAAATATTTTTTTAGATTTTACATTCAACTCATCAAAAATCATTGAAAATAAATTCCATACAAAACTCCCATAAAGTCTTTTCAGAAATAAATTAATTCTAGCTAAAATAAACTATTTTATAGTCACTGGTAGCATAGTAGTTGTCGCATCAGACTCATGATCGGTAGACCCAAGTTCAAATCCTACCTTAGGCTGAACATCAAAGGGTCGACCCCTACTCTGGGTGAGTGTGCCACAGACTCAATGGGAAGGCCAATTCTAATGGCCGAGATTCATTCCCTAACGAATGCGACTTTGGGGGAACCTTGGTTAAGGTCTGGAGGTGCTTGTGTTCGACCAAGCCTGGTTGATGCCAGGATAGCGCATTAAAAAAATGCCATTTGACAGAGAGATGGCCACACAGCCCTGTCATGTAGTCCCAAACATGAATACGACTTCTGTGGCAAAATGTGTCAGCACTAGCACTTGCAATTTGCACTTACAAAAAACAAAATGTCACTATTTTATAGTAAGCACATTTGTGTAAATACCTCAAGTGCACTGAAATACATACCTTGTAACCTAATGCTCTGAGCTCACCCGGTGAACATGGATACAGATCCATGTATCTGTACCTATCAACTAATAATGTTGTCTCTTTATCATCAAACTCCTAGAATATATAAAAACAAAAACAAAAATCATAATTATGATTCTTCTCATGATTCTCAAAAACAATCGTAATATTGAACACTCTGATTGAAACATAGGTATCCAAACCTTGCTGAGGCTTAAATTCCACCCCTCGGCATGTTTTGTTCAACATAAAATAACTGCGCTTTCATGTACTAGTCCAGAAGTTCTTCCCTAAACAATTGTCACATGAACAATTGAACCATTGATTTGTTGAACGATGAAAAAGCAGTGTGTGCAACATGATAAATGACATAACTGAAGAAAACCACAGTCATTTAATTTTTCCACATATTGAGAATACTGAAAGTGTAATAGATATTTGAACTGGTTTGATTATTCTAGGATACCATATTGGGCTGGTTTGACTGTACAAGACTGGTGATACATGTATTTCATGAGAATACCATTAATATAACAATACATTATTATTGTTTACATACCTCTTTGAAAACAGCATGTCTTCTTTTTTCCACTTTCAGTATACTGGCCAGATCACCACATGTTGACTCAAAGTCTTGAAATTTCAGCCATATTTCTCTGAACAAAGAAAACCACAATGACATTTGAAATGCAATGACGCTAATTTTCCCTACAAGAAGTGCATCTCCAGTAGTCTCAATTAGTAGTTCATGTATTTACATAAATGACAGAAATGTACCTATGGTCAAAAAGATCCTATATTATTTATCCAGTAAACATTAAATAACATTTTTGGTTTATACAAGCTTGTTTTAGAGCTGCAGTTTGAATAAGTTTGAATAAATCAGATCTAGTTTAAAATGTCTGACAAATTTTGACAAAAAAAAAAATTGAAAAGAATACCAAAGTTGATATGTGAACTCACCCTGATTTCTCAGGAGGAAGATTTCCGATGTCAAAACTCTCTCAAATAGAACTCTTGTATTGTTGTCCTCTGTATAGAAAATCAAAGAATGAGATTACATACCACACTGGGTGAGACAACCGAGAAAAGAAAAATGTTTTGTGGTGTATCCATCCTTCACTTTGCTCATGAAAGTACAGCGTCAGGATACACTACATCACACGTAAAATGAACTTCCATATACATCATGGCGTTCTGTCATAA